ATCGACATTCCAGCCGTAGGCGGCGGCTTCGTGCACGGCTTCGCCCAGCAGGGAGGCCTGATGCATCAGCTTCTTTGGTATGCAGCCGACATTGACGCAGGTGCCGCCGACGCCCCATTTGGTGCCAATTGGTGTTGGCTTCACGAAATCCAAGCAGGCAACGCGTGCACCATGCGCCACGGCCTCCTTGGCGCAGGATAAACCACCAGAGCCGCCACCAATCACAACCAGATCATAATCGTAGTTACCTGCAAATAAAAGGAGGAGCATTAAAAAACCTGGAAACGGATGGATTCGATGGGATTCAGTGTGTGGCAGTTGATACCCCGTGGCATCTTGCGCGTGTTGGTTTTCCGAAGTCGTATGTCCAGATATGCGGAACGATATATGCTGCGCCCCTCGGCGGGCAGCTCATCCGCCAGCGAGGCGGGCACAAATTCAAATAGATGCATTTGCCCGGCAATTGCTGCTTCAAAACTGAAGCCTCTGTTTCTCGTTGTTGTTGTTGTTGTTGTTGTCGCGCTTATTAATTATGCACATGTGTGTCAACGAGGTGCAAATCAAAGTGGAGCAATCATCGCAAGCCCCGCCTTGACGTGCGGTTTGCTTTGGATCCAATACGTTTGCCATGGCTACGAATAAACGATTCAAACGTTTCGTATTGGGGGCGGGTGTGCGTGGACAGGGTTGCCAGACAAGCAGCGGGCGCCATGAAGTTGCCAGCCAGTTGATGTGCAGAGCAGGATCTCTTTATCGATTAACAGGTTATCGATATATTCAACTGACCAATTACATAATGTAAAATAACAGAGGAAATTGGCTGCAGACTAAATACCCTTTGTATTAGGGCGCAGACCTTCCTAAATTCACACATGACAATAAAACTTAATGATGCCAATAAATGTATGTTTCCCGATAACATAAGCTGATAATCAAATATATGGCATTATCTTCATGTTAAAGCTGATAATTGAAGTGCTTGAAAGGAAATTTCAATTATATTTTGATGCTGTTCAAAATTATTTGTATAAATGTTGCAATTTCCACATGATAAAACCCGGAATGACGTTGTTGAATTTAGAAATATCTAAAAATACAAATCATCCATTCAATTGCTGAGCCAAAAGTCCAATTGGAGCGGAACCGTTCTGATAAGCATAAGCTGTTCGAATACCGAATTGAGGAAATAATAAAATCCATAGATTATCGAAGCGTTTTAATGAAATCGCAAGAATGCCGATCGCTGTGAATATGTATATGTGTATGCTTATTGAACAGCATTTATCGAGTTTTAGCTCAGGCTTATTAACATTAGAACAATATATAATAGGCGACGGCCACAGGCTAAAGCTAATTAATTGTGGTACGTGGAATGTGGGAGAGGGGGTGGGGGGAGGGTTGGGGGTATTACGTGCTGCTGATAAAGTAACGTAGTTATCGTTGCCAGTCAGTCATAATCCCACCCCCCACCCCGGGAATTGAATGCGTCACAAACTGGTCAACTTGTACGATGCGAACCTTAATGTAAGGGCATAGAACAAGTCACGATTGCAGCAGTTCGATACATTCACAATGACGATGTGTTAATCAGCATGATGATACAGATAATCGTGATGACGTAATCGGTATGTGCATTGAGGATGTGCTTGCAAAATATCTCAAGATATTCTCGAACAATTCGCGCTATCAGCGGCAAATGTCAAGTTTGTTGCATCTTGCGAAATACTTAAGTACTCGAGTTAGAAAGTTGTTACCAAATACCCTCAAGCCGCCCTTCGCTGCCAAAAAAAAAAAAACCCTTCACTTGCATGATCATGACTCTGCAGAAAATAAAAACCAATTTTTTGCCCGGCAAATCGATTCACGTTCGATAATGTACGTGCGTAGCGGCGTGCTTAACAGTTATTGTACAATAAATTCATAAATACAATGTATACGTGTGTGTGTGTGTGTGAGAGAGAGAGAGCGAGCGAGAGAGAGCAGCAGCAGAGTGTAGTTATAAGCATAAAAGCGGCCATTTCACTGGATGGCGTTGCCAACTGGTTGGAAAGACGTTGATCACCAGCAGAGTTGCAAATCTTTTGGGGCTACGGTCTTGTGGCATTGGCTTACCTCGTAGTGGCTTAACCTTTCGCACGGGCTGCTGATACATGGCCTGCCTATCGCAATGGGGGTGATTAAAGGGCGGCACATTAATGCCAGAATCGCTGGTTGAGCTTTCGAGTGAGTTGCGACCCTGTGGCAATGTTTTGCCAGGATTGCGGTTACCTGATTGCGAAGTTCGTCTGGCCCCCTTGTCTGGCAAGGCGGTGTTGATTGGCTTCATTATTGTTGTTGAATATCTTCGTTGTTGTTGGTTTTGTATTTGGTGTTGTTGTGGTTGGAAATTGTTATTGAACGTGTAGTGTAAACTATTTGCGGCGATTGTTTTTGTCGAACTCGACATAAACATCGTCGCCTGCTGGCGCACCAGCGTTACTGAAAATCTCGAATTCCACAATGTAAGCGACATGTTGTATACGTATAGCCAATCGCCGTATATATGTATGTATGTGCGTTAAAGCACGCTTCGCCTCGACACTTTAGCTGGTCACTTGGTAGATGTAGCTCAAATTTAAAGCTATGGCGAAATTCTCAAGTTGTTTATTGCGCTGCGCGTTCTTAACAAGGTTTTAGTTTTTGTTGGCGAAATCACGGACACAGGAGAAGACAAACCGAATGAAAAGAGCAAAGTTGTCGTCGTTAGGCGGCTGCACGGCGCTTGGAATGATTGGAAAGTGTGGGCAGCGACGCTCACCACGTAACAGCGGCAGAGCTGTTGTATGCGAATGCGCGTTCAAAAGAGAATTCAATGTAGATGGCGGCCTGGTCACAGGGTCGTCGAGCTGTCTGTCTAATTAGCCGTGGCAAACATAATGTAAAAACATTAATTAACATAACTTGCATAAATACAATGGACTGGAAGGAGCGCAACAGTTGGCTGCCCTTGTCAGGGTTGCCATACAGCTAACTCTAATCAGCCAATGGTGCTTCTTTTGCGTACAGCTGGCAACTCTACCAGCTGCCTTAGCCACCGGCCGCCATGTGAAAGCGCTTGTCTATTTGATTATAAAAAATAAAGAGTGCGCAAAGTGTTGACGTTCGGCGAGGTGATAAAACACAATTAGAGGCAGTGTAGCCAAGGCAGCGCCTCGTGGAGCAGCCAGTTTACGCCGTTTTGTGTCAGTTATATAGCTACGACATTTTATTGTGCCCGTTGCCACGGCTTAAGTGCAAATAACCGATTAGATTTCCGTAACAGAAAGCAAAAACAAATTCACAAAATGAACTCGATTTTAATAACGGGCTGTAATCGCGGTCTGGGCTTGGGCCTGGTGAAGGCTTTAAACGCACTGCCGGAGCCGCCGCAGCATCTATTCACCACATGCCGCAACCTGGAGCAGGCCACAGTAAGTACATTTGCCCAGTCATGTCACCCTAACGGGTGACTCATGCACAGGGTCAATTGTTAAAGAGTATCAACGACATCTACACATCGAAACTACGCGAATAATTATAAGTGGCAACAGCAACAACAACAGCAGCAACAACAGCAACAACCCGTAACGCGAGCGAGACAGCAAGAAATATTCTTGTCTTGTGTGTGGCATCACTTCTGTTACTCACCTTTACCGTCTACGGGCGCCATGTTTTGCAGTCTTGGCAAGTGTTTTAGGCTAAAAAACAGGATCAGAACTTGCTTCCAAATATTCAATAAATTTATTCAGTTAGACTGAAGATGAACACACTTTGCACGGTCACTTTGAATGGCAATTAATACAACAAAAAAAATAACAAACTCGATTTTGTCAAATGACAGTTAACTAGCTAGCCCTGCGCGACACTCTCGCCAGCGAACGCAAAAGCGAAATAAGCGGTAAACTTTTTGCAATTGCTTTTACGCTTTCGGTTCGATGCTTTGGCTCTCGGCTTTTGCTGCTGCTGCTGCTGCTGCCCGTTTTCCAGTTATGGAAAGCACAATCTATCGATGTATCGATGCTTTTTTGTTTTTGCGCTCGCACCGACGTCAATGCCGCTTCGCGCAAGCTTGGCGCTACTTTTGTACGGCTTTTGCAGCACTTTTTCCAGTGCTAGTCACGATCTATAGCAACATACAAAAAATATATCGATACTTAATTAAGTACTTGAAGTTAGCTGTGAGCATAAGCTTGGCGCCACATTTGAAAAGCAGTCTAAGTTTAAATTGTAATTGTTTTCTCTTGCAGGAGCTCAAAAAACTGGCGAAGGAGCATTCTAATATACATATACTTGAGATTGGTATGTTAAAACACACTTGCTTGCCTTTATTAGCTGAGATCTAACATCAATGCTGCTTTCTAACAGATTTGCGAAACTTTGAGGAATACGACAAGCTCGTTGGCAAAATCTCCGAGGTGACCAAAGACGCCGGTCTCAATGTGCTCTTCAACAATGCTGGCATCGCGCCCAAGTCTGTGCGTTTCGGTGCCACCAGGCAACAGGATCTGATCGATACGCTGCAAACAAATACCGTGGTGCCTGTTATGCTGGCCAAAGCCTGTCTGCCGCTGCTAAAGCGTGCTTCGGAGGTCAACGAGAACGTGTCGCTTAGCGTGAAGCGTGCTGCCATTATCAATATGAGCTCCATTCTGGGCTCCATACAGGCGAACACGGATGGCGGCCTCTTGCCATATCGCACCTCCAAGTCGGCGCTCAATGCGGCCACCAAGTCGATGAGCATCGATTTGGCACCACAAAAGATACTCTGCGTCAGCCTGCATCCCGGCTGGGTGCGCACTGACATGGGCGGCAACAATGCGCCCCTGGACGTGGCCACCAGCACCGAGCAGATTGTGAAGACAATTTGCCAGCTGGACGAGTCGCACAATGGCGGATTCTATCAGTACAATGGCGAGCAGCTGCCCTGGTAGTGGCGAACACAACACCATGAGCTACATATATCATGTATATATATATATATATATGTTATATATGTATATATTTTGTTGCTATCTATGTAAATTATTGTTGGTGCTTACACGAATTGTTGAAAATCATAAGCTTGCGTTATTATCTAGCGCTGACGTGGCAGCCATGGGCTGCTGTTCCAGATCACATCAGAGCGGTGGCGGCGGCGGTGGCGGCTGCGTTGCTTGTGGATTGCTTCCGCTGCCATTCATGGGATATGCGACGCGTTTGCGCAGATCAAGCCGGGGACGACGGTTGCCAGCGCTGGCCGTGCCTGCGTCGGCGCTAACTGGCGGCGGATCATTCCAACCGGGGGTGAGTGAACCTAACAGTGCGACAGAAATACGCCTTTGACGCCTTTAATGCAAGAACTGCCTGGCCTGGGCTTACCTGGAAATGCGCCGCTTGGTGCAATGCTTTGGCCCATTGGCGGCGGCGGCTGTTGTTGGGGCTGTGCTGTAGTTGTTGTTGGCGGTGGCGGTGGCGGCGTCATGTCTGTCCTTGGCGCAAATTTAGCTGACTGTGTTTACCTATTTGTAGCTTTGTTCCAGCTGTTCTGGACAGCCACAATGTCAAGTGTTGAAATTTTTATTATTGTTTTCGATAAATATCAACGAAATGTGCGCGCAACCAACTTCATGTGAGTGCAATAATTGCGTGCAGCCAGCTTCATGCGAGTGCAAAATTGCGTGCAGACTTTGTTCGAGTGCGCAATTAGCGCGCAGCCAACTTCAAGGCGCACTCAATTTTGAATTTTGCACGTTAATTTGATTAAGAACCGTTACAATTTAGAAACCCAAAAGAGAATTGTTTTTTTCCGCTGTCTACAAATTATACAACAGCAAAAAGTGAAAACCTTCTATATTTTCTGGATAGCAACAACATTTGCAGGGCTTCGATGTGCAGAGGATTTTGTGGCATGGGTTGAAAATGTATTTAAGAGAAAACAAAAAAAAGCTGCAATGCAAGACATTTATTATAATATATACAATTAGTATTAGGAAAAATAGTTAAATATTCGCTGTTTCTCTGGTCTCTTACAATAGCCGCTGTCACACGCACAAGAGTCTTGAGTCTAATCTTGTGCAGTGGCCAGCAGCTGCAATAAGTACCGCTCGTTTAAATATATCTATAGATATCTGTCAATATCATTTTGGACACTCTCACTTTAACACTTGAGAAAATCGACTGTTCTGCTTTACGGAAGAGGCCTGTCCTCGGCAAGTTTGGGGCTTGAATTAATGATAGGCTGCAGGGTCCAACATATGTTTCGGTTCCCAAATTCCAGTTTTGAATATTTAAGTCTGTGGCTGTTAATTTGTATTCTTCTGGGCTTACTTTAATTTTTTGTTGGTTTTCACGTTTGACCATTTGTCAGTTGAATTGAATTAAATAGTCGCAGCGGCTATTGATTTTTAATTGAAATCCTTCGAATGCTTCCTTTCGCTGCTGTCATCCTAATTAAAATTGAAAGCTAGCCAATTAAACGATTCCAAAAATATATTTCTGCACAAATTGACATTTTCCGCTGTCCATGTCAAACTTTCGATTAGCACAGTAAAAAAAATTTATTCAAAAAAATATTAAAAAAATAAATACCGTTTATCCTTATTTGTTTTATACACTGGCAAAAAAAATATTATTTTATGATATTTTGCAAAAACAAAAAAAAAAATGTTGCTCTTTGCCTGGCTGCAGCTGCTCGTCGCTGTTGTCGCTTAATTAACAATGTTTAACTGAGACAATGTTCAGGCGGTCGTGCGGCTTTTATAGCTGCAGGTGTCGCCGTCGCCGCTGACGTTGGCTGCGCCGTCAGCTTTGCTGCTGGCGTTGCATCCCCCACAAAGTTGCCGTTGTCAAGTTTGCTACCTACCTGCTGGCCAGCGCATAGAGACGCCCACACACACACACACACACACACATGCACACACATGCCGCAGTGGACAGCGGGCAAACGTCAGCGAAGTCTTACATGTGTGTGCGTGCTTGTGTGCGTGTGTGTGTGCGTGTGTGTGTGTGTGTGTGTGTGTGTGTGTGTGTTTGTAACTAACTTTGTAATATTATTAGACGGTTTTAGTGTGCGGCAGTTGTTGTGCCTTGACCAGCCGTTGCAAGGAGGCGCGAGCGGGGTCAGCTGCGCTGTTTGCGAAAAGTCGCTGCCTACTTTCAGGCGCAGGTCGATTGCACATTTGCTGCAAATCAAAAATGCAACAGCAACAACAACAACATGCTGCATAGGTAAAGAAGAGCGCAGCGAATGCACCAACAAAGGAAGACAGAAATCATTGGGGCAGGTTATTGAGCAGCAGCACCCTGTCCAGCGCCCCCCCCTGGCGCAAAGTTGATTAAGAAACATGATGCCGCCGAGAGCTATGCAATGGCAACTCCGTGTGCAGAGCATTTTGCCACACTTTGCAACACTTGCCCCATTGCAGTTGCACGCCGCCCAATGGGGTGGCTAGCGCTTAGCCACCTACAGATTGGGAACGTCCAGCGGGTGAATCTGTAGAAAACACGCAACACAAACGAAATAAAAGTGAACAAATAGCAAAAGAAACCGAACCAGAAACAAAGGCCAAACAGCATAAAAAGTACGGTAAAATTAAATAACATTGTTTTATGCAGGCGACACCTTTAACTGAGCCCGCACCGCCCCGCCCATCGTTCACAACAGGCACACATACAGCTGAGCTGTGCTACCCCAACCCGCCGCAACTGTACCGATCACTTGTATGGCATCGCCGTTTGGAATGCTTCGCTGCGCTGCGCCCGTATAACGGGGCCTCTCTGCCCGTGTGGGGAATCTCAACAAGGCGACGCAGCGGGCAGCAGCTTAAAGAAACAACAACAACAACAATGGCGAGTGAGAGAGGGAGATAGAGAGAGAGAGAGAGAGTCGGTGCTTATCGAAAATGGCGAGTATCGAGTGACAGATTGTCTGCGGCAAAGAGGCCAACGGCGAGCGGGGCGTGTGCAGGCGGGCGCGCATTGTTCCTATTGCTGTTGTTGTTCTACTCTCCTTCTACTTTAGCAGCTGCTTCTTCTGCTCATGCTGTTGTTGTTGCCGCTGTTGTTGTTGTTCTTGCGAAACCATAATTTTCAAAGCAGGCGTCACTCACACACACACACACGCTCACTGGCCACACAGTTTTTGACACATTCGTTCGCGCTGTCTCTTTTCCACTCGGCTGCATTTGATTATGTGCGTGTGTGAGTGCATTACGCTCACGTTGTCAGGATAAATATATATTATGAAAATCCTTGATATGCGAGAAATCTATTCAACTGACGTTCGTAATCAACTGGCGTATAATTCATTTGGACATTTTACGCAACGCTTATCACAGGTGCTAAGCTCCGGTAAAGTATACCACGCTTATTTGCTGAGCGAACAAATATTAATGGAAAATTATATAAGTTATGAAAGCGATTCCTATAGTCGGCATATCGCGTAACGCTTTTTAATTTGCTTTTCTATCTGCCAATGGCACTTGTAAGCGTGGGGAGGGGGGGGGGGGGGTTTAGGGAGAGGTTGCTAAGAAACTCATCTTGGCGTATACGTAATATTCGATGTGCGTCAGGCTTTCGTCTTTAAATGCGTACGTCTCCTAAATTTAATTTGCAAACTTTTTACTTGTATTTTTAAGTTTATCGATAGCTCCCCGCGATTGGCTTAAATCGATAAATATCGGTTATTAGCTTAGATCTGCAGCTGCAGATCAAGCTGAAGCTGTTGCTATAGAACCCGAAATTTCCACAGGGATTCGCCTGTTCAGGGCGAAGAGGAAGTTTGTTTCTGTTACGATAACTTAACGTACTCGTTCTTTAGATCCAGTAAGCTGGTTCAAACTCACAACAAGTACAAATGTCGTTTTTGCTTAAGGTTTTTGAAATGTTTAAATTATATTTTGTTTCTAGAACAAGCTCTTCTTATGCTTAAATCTATTGAAAAAGGGAGAAAATCAAGTGGAATGGAATTTGGCAAACAAGACATTTACTTAATTTGTATATAAATCTGATATGTCAGTTTAAGCTGCAAAACTATTCGTAATATTTCATTTCTTTCCCTAACTGCCCAGTTCTATTTAATCTTATTCAAATGTTTCGTTCTCCACATTTCTGTAGGCACAGCATTATTTTGACTCCAGGTCCTGACAAAATCGGCTTGCTTCCTGGAAAATTTCCCTGTTCTGCAAGCATTGCTTCTTGAACAAACTGAACAATTCCTTTTGTTTTTCTATTTCATATTATTTTGTCAATCATTTTACATAGAACCATTTCAAAGATCGCTTGTGAAGAATAACAAGCTTTATTATTCCCCCAACTCAACTCCATCATAAGGCTTCTATGGGAACAATCAATGCAAATCAATGTTCTTGTATAAAGCCACAGCTAGCAAGGCGTTTGTTTGTTGTTCTCATACCCTGTAACCCACAAAAAGGGTATACTAGTTGTGTGCTAGGCTTCAGGGTCTATATTTTCTTGAGCAAAACGACGAGCTGAGTCTATCCAAAGAAATCTCTATATATAACCATATAGATATCTTTTCAGTGTTGGCTTACGTCAGACTACGCTGGTTATTTCGTTAAGGCCTGCTAGTGTTGTGAAATGCGCAGCACTTGAGTCTCTGTGCAACGCTGTTATAGTACGCTTTGCCGTGACTGTACGTCAATAGACCTAATTTGAGAGACAAGATGAAAGCAATACTCTCTTTATTTAAATCCGACTAATGCAAACTGCTTTTTTGACGATTCGGAACTGAATACAGGGTATCAGTAAGTCCCAACTTGTGCTTTTATAGAAACTCGTTCAAAACTCTTTCGTTTGCTCGCTCTCTCTCTCTCTCACACACACACTTTTGCTCTCACTCTCTCCCTCCCACACTCTCTGCCCCTCTCTTTCTATCTCTCTCTATCTCACTCTCCATCTTGACTAAAGTCAAAAACCTGTCGATTTTAATCAATATTCATACAAAAATGTTGGTATTAAAATGCACAAGCAACCACACACGCACACACGCACACACACACACACTCACACACGCACTTTGTCATTTTGAGGTTTATATTCATTTTGCCGTTTTGGACAGCTGCTCGGGTTGAAGGTGGAGGTGTGCTGTGTCTGAGTGTCCTGCTGCGCGTGCACGTCAAACGTGTCCTTTGCAGCTCGGCACAGCGGGCGGCTGGGCGGCTGGGCGGCACAGAGAAAAAGAAGAAGAATGGCTGCGAGGCCAAGTGCAACGTCAATGCAACACGCATGCAACACAGAGCAACAGAAACGGCAACAAATTGTTGCAGCCAAGACGCGCGCCAAGGATCAGCAAAGCTTCTGTGGGAAACTGGGACACTGGGATTTGGCTTTGTGGGCTCGCCAGCTCGCCCACACTCCACGCCCACGCCTTCGATGACGTCACAGACTTTTTGGGGCTTCGGCTATTGGCTTCGGCTGTTGGCTTTGCTTTTGCCTTTATTTTTTTTTTTTTTTTTTTTTTTTTTGGCACTCGCCTCGGCACTGGGTTAGCGTGCTGCCTGGTCCTGACCTGCGCCTGGCCCCGGCCCTGATGCTGTGCGCGCCGTGCCCCCACCCCCCATTGATGACAATGACGTCAGCAGCCGAGGCGGGTAAACGGCC